ACGACTACAATCGTTGCTATGACAACGATCAAGGGGATACTTATAATCGGCCAAGTGTCAGTGCCAAGTCGGATCGAGCTCCGGGAAACCCGAATGAAAATAACCCTTACAAGTGGATTAAATCTAAAAATGGGAATGAATATAACACTACATTAAATACACAAAACGCTAGTTTCGGGAACTACAATGATAGTACGCCAAGCACAAGCAAAGGGGGAAATTATAGTGGAAATGAATTTAATCCTCATAATAAATTCGGCAATGTTCAAAACACGTCGAAATTGCCGGAACTTAAGGAACAAGCGATTTTTATTACTAAGACTGAACTCAATAAAATTAAAAAAGCCAGAGAACAAAAACGAACTGCGCTTGAGCGCAAAAATGAAACTTGGCGTTCGCAGGCTACCTCTAAGATTGTAAGAGATGCTCTCGAAGATAGTGGCTTAATGAGTCAAGCTAGGAAGCCAGGTTTTGTGCAGTTCATGAAAAGTATCGTTAGATCTCGAATCAATAAGATTTTGGGTTATAGGAAGGCTGTGTCGGTGGATAAAATCTTAAAAGAGTACTATAAAAAATTCCCCACAAATGTTCGAATAAATTTTGTCCTCGAATCGAAGCAAAAGTTCAATAGAATTACCGATTACCCATCAGGAGGTGAGATGTTTCGATATTCTTTGTGTTACTGTGAGTTTGCATTTGAAATACCGGCATGAAAACATTTTATACAGGTATTCCGACAATGGAAACTCACGGTTTTATGTTGTAAACTTTCCACATATTTCGCTATACCGCTTAATCGGATTATTTCGAATACAAACACCGCCTCTCTCCTGAAGAACTGACGATCTGACGATATTACCGATTTTTTCCGTAAGATTTGATCTTATTTGACCATACAATACGTTAGTTTTTTTTTGTTATAAACTTTTAATGTTTTCGTTTTAAGCTTTTAATCTTTGCAGATTTATACGAAATACTATCATAAAAATTTAAAGTTTGGCGTACAAACTAACCATTCAAATTTTATGCTGTTATCTTATATAAAACTATAAAGGAAGCTCTAATGTGAAAAATTCCTTTTCCCGAAATAGGATTAAAGTTTTTATCCTGTGGGAGAAAGTCTCCTTTCATACTGGAAGGAAAGTTCCTTTCCTGTGGGAAGCAAACCTCCCTTTTCCATAGTAAAGTGTTCTTCTTAAGCGAAGAAGCTTCCTTTCCTTCTATGGGATGGACAGTTTACTTTTCCGTAAGAAGAGATGTGGAATAAGGCAGTTATATATGTGACATTCTTAAAGTGTATGTAATGGGCACCAATAGAGAATGACACGACACAATGAACAAGAATTTGCTCTTAAATTCTTGCTATTGCAAGTTTCTCTGCCTTAATGCAATTTTAAAGTATAATTAACACTTTAAATGTGTAAACAATAAGCTTTCTAGACTTATTTTAATTTTAATTTATTTAAAAAAGATTTTGCTAATAATTAAATGTTAAGACAATGACATTGATAAGTGGCAAACGAGCAAGCGGTTACCTAAATCCGCCAAAAAGGCAAAGCGACCGCTGCCGGCAGACATCCACAACTGCTACGTCGACGGAGGAGGAGATGCACATAAAGAGGACATTTCCCCTTCCTATGCGTCTCCACTGCCAAATCCACTTTCCCATTCAAAACTTCCCTTATAAGAAAAGGGTGGAACGGGAAAAGGACTAAAATTAGGCCTCCGGCACGACACTCATCAAACGAAAGGCGGAATTGCTTCCACTTCACGCTTCTCTTTTGTGTGGTCGTGGTATTGCACCGGGCGAGCTGACCCATTCTTGCGAAGATGTTAAAGCGGGCGCTACCACTATTGACCAGACTATCAACAGAGAAATAAAACTTTGAGTTTTATATAATTTCTGTGATATTTTTTTTTCATTAAAGATTAGCATTTACTCGTTAAATGGTCCCTAAGTAATCAATTAGCAACTTATTTACTTTAATTATAATATCTTACTAATACTACTACATAAATACTAGAGTTTAGATGGATGTTTCTTAGAGTTTGCCGCCTAAACGGTTGAACGAATCTCGATAAAATTATACAGAAACATAGAGGAATGTCTGGAAAACCATATAATCTACTTCCTTTTTTACGCGGATTCGCTGGGAAAAGCTTTCATTTTAATAAATGTAATAATTACCAGCTGCTCCCATACGACGGCCGTTAATGAACCAACCACAGCCGGAGAGACGACCGGCGACAGAACAACCGGAGACGGCTCCTCCACCTAAGAAGAAGCCCCCAGTGGATATACCGAGACCTCCGCCGTACCGCCCGCCGACACCGGGACCCCTGCCCAGGTATCCTAATGCTGGTAAGAAAATAGTCATAATTTATACTTCTTACTAAATTTATAAATGCGAATGGGTGTTTTTAACAGATTTAGATCATATTGTGGAAGAACATATAGGTTATTTTTAATTCCGGAAATAGTTACATATCTTGGATGCTTTTATTTGGTTATTTTCATATTTACTTGATAATTCTGCAATGGTTCAATAGCTCAATGAAATATGGTACAGATGTAAAACAAACTCGGGGTAATACACATAGGTTACTTTCTTAGGTTTTTTTTTTAATTGAGCTAAAGCTAGTTTCAATGTAAATTAATACTGTTGTCTTTTTTATTTTCAGATAAACAAGCATATAAAAGTAAGTTCTATTTTTTATTTGTATAGTATCTAATGTAATTTATTAAAATAAATTAAATAATGGTTTTTCATATTTTTAATTAAAATCTTGAACTATAATTGCGGATGTCTATGGGCAGCAGTCGCTTTACATTTCGATGGACTCGGGTGGCCGCTTGCTCGCTTGCTACCTTATATTATAAAAAAAAGATAGCTATTCTTAATGGTATTTTTTTTTTGGTGACATGTAATTTTTTATTATTTTTGCTACTTGTACACTTTGCATTCTAAATTAAATGTATTAAAGAGGATTATTGTTAAAGATAAGTTAAAAAAAATAATACAGTTATAATTTCTTTTTTTAGAATTGAAGACGCTCGCGAAGGAAGAACATGAAAAAGAAATCTATACATTGGAGCCGAAATTGAAACAAGCACTTGAGAATGAAATCCAAGATCTTCGGGAATTAGTAAGTACTACTAGCTGTTCCCATGCATCCTTCATCCGCATGAAATTATGAAAATTTTATTATTTACATTTGTCAAATTATCAATAGCAAATCTCAAAAGGACAAGACATAAAAAATAAAAAATAGAAAATAAAAAATAAAATAACATTTAATCTTATCACCACTACAACACAATTATAACAAACCTTGGCAATCTTGCTTCCGCGATGTTGGCAGTAACTTATGGTCTCTTTCCCACATTAGAGTTTTTATCCAAAATATTTAGCACCTAAGTTTTATGGCGTGAAAATATGTAGCCTAAAGCGCGACGTAAGTGTACGGTTGTTTATTAAAAATAGAATTATTTAAAATATGCTGTAATTGCTGACATCTTAGGCAACAAAGAAGTGTGTGTTTACGCTTTATTATAATAGTATAGATTTAGTATGTTTTAGGCCTACCATGTATAGATTTGATCTTCCGAATAAACCCAATTTTTAATTATTTTTCCTAGTTTTTTGTCTGCTATTTAATTAATTTTAACATTTGATTGTCTTTATTCCAGTTTGTATTGGAATGCAGAAATAATGATGGTGGGGAACATGAGACAATCTGTAAACGTATCGAGGACACTGCTGATAAAGTTATGAAGGTATTTTATACATCTTACTGTACTATTACATGTTAACGGTAATTCTTTTTCTTTTCTTCTTGGCTTTTACACTTAAGTGTATTTAGACATTAACGATAATTGTTATCCAATGTGGATTTCGTTGTCATTTGAATTTTGATATTTAGGGCCTGTCCCACCACTGGCTGATAAAG